TGAACCTCTTCCATTTAGAAAATTGATCTCCCAGTCACACATTTTATTAACCTTGAGTTTTTAGAGCATGGCTGCTTTTAAAGAGAAAGAGAGATAGGTCTCTACTGGTGCTGTATATAATTCACAAGTTATAGTATGGACGTTAAGCTATCTCTTTGGTATAAGAAACTAGAGGTTAAACTTCCCCATAAATAAGGAAAATGGCAATGCACTTACTTAAATATGCAAACTCTAAATAACAAGCAGAATAATCTGTAGGAAATATGAAGGCAAATTAAGAAGTGATGCTGCAGAATCATAAGACCTTTATTAAACAAAAACATTAGAATGTGAAGCTATGCTTCTGGACATAGCCTCTATCTAGGTATAAACACTTCTGAAGACAGTGTTTCCATCTCTCTAACCTTTCCCTGAAGAAATTTGTTTTCTTCAGTTTATACCACATCAAAATGGCAGCTTAATCATCCTCAAGGGATTCAAATTGTGTTCCTTCTCAATGTTTTTTGAGTTTTGGGACTGGAGGTGGGGGATAGCCTGAAGGGACAAGATCAGGGGTGTAGGGTAGATGGGATAAGTTATCCTAAAGAAATTCTTGTAGGACAGTCGTTGCTTTGCATCTTTGAGAATTCAAAGAATGAACAGGTACATTGATGGGAAAAAATGCCTCAGCACAACTATTCTGGTCTTTTTCTCACCAATGTAGCTTTCAATTTTCTTAAAACTTCCTCATAATAACCTCCAATGATTGCTCTGTGTCCTTTGCAAAAAAAATTGCCTTAGGAACGACAAAAAACAATTGTCAAAACCTTTGAGCTGATCTCTCTGCTATGAATGTAACTGGCCCAGTAGATCCCCTTGGAAGCCACTGTTTTGATTGGGCTTTGCTCTATGAATTCTATTGATAAATCCAAGATTCCTCCCCAGTTACAATTCATTCCATAAAGTTGTCTTCATTAGCTTTGATCTTGCTTAAAAGACTGATGGAAAGACCTTTGTATAATGAAAGATCTTTGCTGCAGTTAATATGTTTCCTCAAAGTTTAAAATGCTGAACCATTTGAGAAGCCACCTTCAGAAGCTATTACATCAATGGTATTTCTACAATCTTCTTTTACCAGTTTCTGGACTTCAGCCACAATTCCTTCATTCATCAAGGTTGATGATCTTTCCTTTCGTGGCTCATCTTTGAGGTATTTCCAACCTTCCTTAAAATGCTTGATCCATCTAAAAATGCTTGTTTTATGGGGGACAATACTCCCATAAACTTGTTGCAAAGCTTTAATGATGTGAGAATCTATTGACTTGAATTTTGTTAAATATTTTCTATTAGCCCCGACCTAAAAATTTGAAGATGCTCCAATGAATCTAAAAAAAGTGTAACACTGACAGAACTTGTCTGCAGCCATCCACAGATAATCAAAGACATGTTTAAATATGTTTCGTTTGAAACAAATCTAGTGCATGTATTAACTAGAACTCCAGTAACAATACTTTTTGACTTAATCTCATAAGTGCCATTAAGTAGCTACTACAGCAACAACAGAGAATCCTGGTATGACACTGTAGGATAATCACTGGACTGCTGACCACAAGGTCAGTGGCTCAAACCCACCTACCAATCCTTGGAAATCCTATAATAGTCACTTTGAGTAGGAACTAACTTGATGGCACTTAATAACAACAAAGAATATATTACTCTCAAAGGAAAAAAAAAAACTGCAAAAATAATAATTTCAAATGACTTTTATTCAGCAAAGTATTATATCTTCAAATTAATAAACTTGTGAACCATGAATATAATGAATGAATTTAAAATGTCCTTGGACAACCAATTATTTCTGTCGCCTGATGACGCATTAAGAGAAGGGCATTTAGGGGATCTGAAGAATGTGTTCCTCATAGTTAACTGGATTTGAAGTGTCCTTATCAATCTGAGCAGCTCAGAAGGTGCAGGAATATTTACTAGAGAACTAACACTGATTTGCAGTGAGGCCACTTGAAGGAGTACACATAGAACACAGGTTTGGAGCCAAAAACAGATTAAGTTTGCATTCTGGCAGCAGCACTTAACAGTTAAGTGTGCTGGGCTAGGTTTTTTTTTTAACTTCCGCTAGTCCTCTATGTGGAGTGCTGGTGTAGCACTGTAGGATAAACACTACACCGCAATATCGCTTTGAACCACAAGGTTGGTTGATCAGACTTACCAGCCATTCCTCAGAAATCCTATACTGGGTCGCCATAAATCAGAACCAATTTCACAGCACTTAACAATAACAATAAAGCCCTCTACGTAAAAGGGGCATAAGATGCATTTTTTAAGGGATATGAATGTTAGAAGTTATTGTAACTGTTTCTAAAAGGAGCCACTCAATAAATGGTAGCAATAAAATACGAAACATAATTCCCAGTTGCCATAGAAAATCCCATCTTCTGGCAATAGTATTTTCCCTGTGTAGGAAATATACTCAGAAAATGAAATTAAAATCAGAAATGGAGTTGTGGTGTGGCACTGTAGTGTAAGTACTGGACTGCTAGCATCAAGGTCAGCGGTTCAGACTTAATAGCCGCTCCTTGGTAAGCCTATACAACAGGTCACGATGAGTTAGAACTGCCCTAACAACCAACCAAAGAAATCATACCAAGGGTGATTGGCTATATGAGTCTAATGTTTAAGGCATGTGTCTCCAATTAGGAAAAAAAAAAAAAAATTCTTATGAAAACTGAACAGGCAGAGTCCTCGGTGAGATGAACTCTTCCGGGGAGTAGGGTTGGAGATACTCAAACCCCTTCACAAGCAACGCATTCTTTCCTTCTGAGTACATTTCAGGTGAGCACATTCCTTAGACATTATGTGAGAATTAACTCAGCTAACAATAGCTTACTATCAACTGGACAAGAAATCAGTTATATAAATTTTAACAACTAAATCACAATTCTGTTTACTTGGTCTCAGAGTACAGATCGAGAAAAACTCCATGTATTTTGGTTCATTTCAAATACACTGACACTTTTAATCAGACCAACACTATAATGGTCTATTCTTCCAAAACTATTCTTGTTGGCAGTATTGTGTTACTTTGTATTTATATCATTTACTATTCTATGATCTATTTACGAGCTCTTTCAGTTTTGTACTGTTTCTCAGTGACTACATTTATTTGAAAACCATGTCTCCCTTCTCTAAGTCAAAGTTACATTCCATAATTCTAACACCTGGGTCTCAATTCTCAAGGGAGTCTGGGCAGGAACCACCAGTTTTCAGGTTTTAAGAGACATCAAGGAACATCTTTCCTCTCTCGTTTTTATTAAGCTTTGCCTCTTTTTTTTTTTTTTTAAATGTTTTATTGTGCATTATGTGATAGTTTACATGGGAGAACATTCGTTTTACATTCATCCTATCATATATCATTTCATTGCCATGGTTACAATCCCCTCCATGCATCAAAGGGTATACACTACAAGCCTGCCCCCAGGTCGTCAGCACACAGCCCCTCTCCCTCTCTGTGTCTAAAGTCCCCAACAGCTCCATCTCTCCACGTCATCATCTCTGCCTCCATTTCAGGCATCACTGCTTCTCTGGGTAGGGTACTGCTCTCTGCTCCTCTCCCTTGATGGTCCCAGGGACCTCCACTCTTAGACTGAAAAGTTAATCACTCCCCTCCTTGCTACAAAATGTCTACCGTTACATTTCCAACCTTCACAATCAGTCCTGATAACAATTATTCACTATTGTATCACAAGTTACCTATCCGCATTTCATTTCATCAGCACCACCTAGACAGATTGGATACTACTCAGTGGAGATTCTACCTTCCTCCATGCTTTCTGGATCTAGGTTCCCTCTTGAAAGCTTGTAAGCCAGTCACTTCTTGCTTTTGTAGCCGCTCCTCCCCTCCCCCCACCCCCCACCCCCATTTTGGGTAGGTAAGCTTTGCCTCTTGCAGGGGAACTGTGACACTGTAGGATAATCACTGGACTGCTAACTACAAAGATCAGCAGTTCAAACACACTAGTTGCTTCTAAGGGAAAAACATGTGACTTTCTCCTCCCATAAAGATTTACCACCTTAGATACAGGGTTTATGAGTCAGAACTGACTGGAGGGTACCTAACAAGAACATAGCAACGTATCTCTTGGGAAGAAATTTTCATTTCAATACCTTAAATGTATTGGCCAGAGCTCCTTGATTTATTTATTTGTTGGTTGGTTGTCCATGTAACCAGATAGTCTAGTGGGAGCAAGAGTCACATTAAAGCCAACGCTTTGCAAATTACAAACTCAGAAGTGAGTCATTTTCCCCAATGTTTCTAAGTCTCTCCAAGGTGCTATTTGACAACTACAAATTTTTTCCTGGTCCCAACTCCCTTCAATAATTCTTAATCACCCAATTGAAGGAATTGAAAGTAAGGAATCCCTGGGTACACAGCAATTTTTTTTTTTCTTTCATTGATTTTCTTCAGTTTTTCCTTGTCTTAGTTTCTTTCCTCTCCCTCTTCCCTGGGACTTGATTTGTACATACCAACAACGGGAATTCTTGTTGTTATTGATGGAGCAGGGCAGGAGGGAATGGTAGATTCTTCTGTGTAATTTAAGGATGAGGATAATGACTTAAGGTGATAAAAAGTAAATAATAAAAAGACAAGTCTACAGATTATAAGCTGTGAAAAAGAAATTAGCCATTTTAAAAACTAGTGTATCTGAAATATGAAAATTTCAGCTTCTCAAATGTCTCTGAATCTTTCATCATATGCCCTAAACATAACCCTCTGCCCCAATTCACTCCAGTGAACTAATTTACCCACTCATTCCAGAAAGCTGTGTATTTTTCTTGGTTCCTCCCTTATTCTCACTTCCTAATAAAAAAAATTCTGCTGATGGATTGCCCAAACATTCTTGATTTTTTCCCCCTCCTGTCGATCTTTACTGACACTCTGCTTGTTTTGTTCTCATGACATTCTTATACTGAGTAACTAAAGCAGCCGCTTACTAGGACACCCTTACTCCAATCTTATCACATTCAAATCCATCCTCCTCAGATTTGGCCAAAGCGATAGATCTACAGTAAGAATCAGCAAATGATGGCTTGTGAGCCATAGCTGGCCTGCTGTCTATTTTTGTCCAGCCAGGAACAAAGGATATTTTTACATTTGTGTATGTCTGAAAAATCAATAATATGTCATGACACATAAAAATGATATGACGTTCGATTTTCAGTTTCAATAAACAAAGCTTTATTGGAATTCACCAACACCCATTCATTTATTTATTATCTATGTATGCTTTCATGTTACAGTAACAGAATTGATACAGCAACCATATGACCCACAAAATCTAAAATAGTGACTATCTGACCTTTTACAGAATAAGTTGGCTTGCCTCTGCTCAAGAGCATAAAGGTGACCCCATTATCTCTTTGCTTAAAAATCTCCCATTGATACTTCATCACCGACAAGATAAGCCCAGGTCGCGGAACCTAACATACATGGCCTCTGCCATCTGGGCTGTTTATCTCTCCCTTCTTTTTTTTGTTCCACCTTCTGCTATAGCGGCATTCCTTGCTTAGAGTTCAACACTTCTTTCTCTCTAAACTGCTGCACCTAATCCTGCCTGTGTAGTTAACTGTTTCTCATCCCTCAGAATGAGTACTGAGGTTCATCTCCTTTAAGGAGTCCCCCTAGACTTGCACTCAGAATGAGGTGACAACTCTGAACACATAGTTTATTAATACTGGTTTGTGCTTGTGTCTAAATTGCAAGCTCTGAATTTCAGCTCCCCTGACACCTAGAAAGGGACTTTGTCTTTCTAGCCCCACTGTATCTCACAGTATCTCCTTATTAGAGGCTTCATAAATATCTGTTGATAAAGTCTAAATAATTGACATATAGCTCAAAGACAATAATCTAGATTTAAAAGAGGACTTTACTTATGATCATAAAGTTATTTTTCTATAATAAAAATATATTAGGATCATTTTTCCCCCAAATATATAGGTTTTGCACATCTTTGTAAAAGTACATGATTTTCAGTTTGGAGGCATCGAAACATTTCTTTTTCATTTCTTTAGATGCAAGAAACAATAGATCTTGTATGGCTAGGTGACACACTTAACAAATATTTAAACAACTCAGATTGACATTTTTGCTTATTATCATGTATCCCTGGCCATTTAAAATTTCAAATAAAGGTTATTCATAATTCTATTGTGATAGAAATAGAGAAAAGTAAAGCCTAATGTAACTGAAATATTGTACGTGTTCAATCTTGGCTAGAGGAAAAGGTTTAGTATGGTATTATTAAATTTCTAGTTGATATTTTGCATTTATTTTTTAAGTCAAAAAACTGTATTGCAAAAAATAAACCTCCTTGCTGACTCATGCTGTCGCAACATTTTGGAGGCCCCAAAGAGATGTCAGTCTACCTTAATTTCACCAGCCTCCCTCTGGGCAGGTGGGCCAGCCCAAAGGCCCAACGAAGAAGAGACTGCCACCTGAAGATGTTCCAGAGCTTCTTCCTCGGCTCTCAGGCTGCCCCGCACAGAGTGGATGCAAGTCTGGTCAACTCGGAAGAGCAGAGTCCTGTCCTGGTCTTGCTGGTGCTGTCAAGAATAAATAAATAACAACAACAACAAAATAGTTCTTTATGTAGTGACCGGGACTTTAAAGACTTACAAAGAGCCACACAAGCCACAATAATTCATGTCTACTAAAAGCAACCTGTGATATGCAGATGATACAGCCTTGCTTGTTGAGAGGGAAGAGAACTTAAAAATTCAATGATGATGATCAAAGAAACAACTCTTAGCATGAGTTGCACCTCAGTATAAAGAAAGCAGAAATTCTCTGCACTGGATGAAAATATAGCATCACAACAGATGGAGAAGAAAAATCAATCATTAAAAATGAAGATGTCAAAGGACAGATCTGGGCTAGGAGTCAGAATCACTGGGCAACACCCTCCGTATGGAAGAGGGGATCAATTAAGCTTGCTTCTTGCCTGGGAACTCCACACAAGGGTGATTTCCTGCACTTGATGATCCTGAACGTACGGTTGCTTGCTTCCCTCCAGAATGAATGTGACTATATATAAGAGCAGAGACTGATGGCATAAAAAGAGAGAAAAAGGATATGTGAAAGTGTCAAGGGGTAGGATAAGGAGAGGAAGGCAATTCAGTTCCCATGAGACACATTACTTCCCTATGATTTTTATCCTTTAGCGAATGCAACAACACTGGATTACCGACTACTGAATATGAATGTGAAAGAGGAGAAGGGTATTAAAATGTGTGTTTGTGTAAGCCAAGAAAGATGGGAACATCTTTCCAGGTAACAGATATTTATTTCACAGAAGCTCCTGAGATTGATTAGGGGATACAGACCTTAGACAATGCTGGTCAATGTCAGGTTTAATTTGTAGAAATAGTAGAGTGGCTATGCACAGAAATCCAAGGGGTTCCATTCATAATGAATTCTTTGTGAATACTGTCCCTGAATTTGCTAAACTTTATCCTGTGCAGAAGAAAACCCTGGCCTCCTAGACCCATGAAGGTCAGCAGGATGCATTTACAGAAGGCACTATGTGGTGCCCTGATATCCTTTACTCCGTGTACCTGAAATATGGGTGAAAGATCCAGACACATCCAGGTACAAGCAGCCTAACTTACCTACATTTTCTTCTCTTCCCTGTGAGCATGTGTTTGTCCATGTCATTGAGTTGGGAACCTGCAAGAACCCAGTCAGTCAGACTGGGGGTTACCAAGCCCTCAGGACCTTCAGACTCTGGAGAGCCCTGTCAAGGGCCTACTTCACTATACAGTACCATTTGTCAAGTTGATTCTACAGATTACTTAAGTGTACTTAGAATTATATAGAAATACACACTCTTAAAATTTTAAAAATATGAAAAAAATAAACCTCCTCACATAGAAATTAGTAAAATAATCACAGCCAATTTATCGCTTTGGGTCCAGGTAAACATTCCATTATTTCATTGATTATAACTGGAATTTCATTTTTTTAAAAACAGGTGATATATATGCACTTACACACACACACACATATATATATACTTATAAACATATATATGTATATAGAACTTACTATGTTTAAATTTTATTTTTGAGATATAAAAATATAATGTTCCTTTGACAGTTCCAACTATGAAAAAAAAAAAATTAATGTCTTGAATGTCTCACATTTACTCCTTTTACCCAAAACTATTTGGATTGACTCAATACTATGTGAATGGGGGTATGTGTATGTTTCTTAAACACAGGAAATTTTGTTTCTGATATGAAAAAATAATTTTTTCTTCAAACTAATTGTTTCAAAAATAATTTTTTTCGCTTGATTTTCATTCTTGCAGAATGGCATGATAAATTGTTCCAGGGTTTCGCTGACTTGTTTTTTCTTTTGTCACCACTTGTAAACCCCATTAATTCCCATTGTCCAGTCTAATTTGATGATGGAGCCACTGTCCCTTTCAAATCCAATTTGTACATTGCAAGCTACTGCCAAATTGATGAGTAATACCCTAAGCACAAACTTGCAAGGTTTTAGCAGTGTTTGCTAACACCATTTGACATATTTATTTCTGAAAGTTTTAATTTGTCATTTTTCTGTAATTATTTTACTTTGAAGAGTCACAAATTTTCTCCAAAAATAAATCTTTAATTACACTCTGTTCCCAAAGTAGAATCCATCTCAGTTCACTAAATGTGATATATATCTTTTTAATCATGTGAACATTTTTAACCTTGTAGAATTTAAAACTTTTCATCATGAACCGATTGTGAGATACTTTCCTACATTGTTAGTTTATATTAGACTCTTTCTCTCAGCTTGACTTAGATATTCAGTTTACGTATGACCCTCTTGTCACTGTTATTTGTCTGCTGAGAGTATACTTTTCCACTTGCACACTGTGTAGAGAGGTCTGAATAGGTAGGAGAGGGTGGTATTTGAGACAAAATGTTTTCCCAGGAGGATGCTCGTGGCTGACATTTGCTTTCATTCCAAATCTCACTCTCTGAATTTGTTGTCTTTGGAGGCCCAATGCACAGCCCATCTGTTGGAGCAGACCTGTGCTAAGTTGATCTGGATGGGGCTGAGAGGAATGAGGAAGGAACTTTGAAAAATTATTTTCATAATCACTTGTTTCTTTTAATGTTATCCCACATTGTTTGGATGAACATGATTCTGTTATCTTAAATAAGCTGACAACATTATTCTAAGAAGAAACATTTCTATATGTATTGGGCACTGTAGGATCAGCACTGGACTACTAACTGAAAGACCAGTGGCTCAAACCTACCAGCCACTCTGGAAACTATATATTAGGTCACTATGAGGCATAACTGTCTCAACGACACTTGACAACAAGTGCAGAAAATTTGTATTGGAAAAAGTATTCGATAAAATGTTTTATTTGTTCCTATTCTAAGGAGCTCTGGTAGCATAGTGGTTACAAATCGGGCTGCGAACGTCAAGGTCGGCAGTTCGAAACTACCCTCGGTTCTGCGGGAGAAAGATGAGGCGGTCTGCTCTTGTTAAGATTTACAGCCTCGGAAACCCTGTACGGGATCGCTATGGGTCGGAACCAACTCGACGGCACTTAACAACAACAACATTCTATAATTGCTCCACATGACTGTCAGTTTGTCATACTGTGGTGACTTCTGTGTTGCTGTGATGCTGGAAACTGTACCACCTGCATTTCACATACCAGCAGGGTCCTCCGTGGGGGACAGGTTTCAGCAGAGGTTCCAGTCTAAGAAAGAAGGACTAGGTCGTCCACTTCTGAGAGATTAGTAACTGAAAATCTTAAAAATGGCAGCAAAAATGTTGTCTTATATGTTGTTGCTGTTGTTAATTGCTGTAAAATTGGTTTTGATTCATAGCAACCCGGTGTAGGGCTTCTTAGGAGTAGCTGGTGAGTTTGAACTGCCAACTTTCAGTTGAAACCAACCTTGCTGTCCAGGATTTATCCTACAGTGATACACACCCAAACTGGAATGTGCTCAAAATACTACTGGGGAAGATGAGACATCCTTAATGATGTGGATGGAGCAAAGCATCGGGGTCCTTTATTTACTGATGGGGCATGACTCAAAATAAAAAATAATTGTAAACATCCATTAATAATCAGATCATGGAATGTACCAAATAGGAAATTTGGAACTTGTAAAAAATAAGATGGAATGCATAAAGTTCAATATCCTAGGCATTAGTGAGCTGAAATGGGCAGGTATTGGACATTTTAAATCAGACAATCATATGGTTTGCTATGCTAGGAATGACAAACTGAAGAAGATTGGTGTCCCATTTGATGTCAAAAAGAACTCTTCAAGATCTATCTTAAAATACAATTCTGTCAATGATAGGATATCTATATGCCTACAAAGAAGATCAATTAAAACAATTATTAGTAAAATGTATTCATCAGCCAGCAAAGAAAAAGTTCTATCAACTTCTTCAGTCTGAAATTGATGAAATATGTAATCAAGATGCATTTATAATTACTGGTGATTGGAATGTGAAAATTGGAAACAAATGAGAGGGATTCGTAGTTGGAAAATATAGCCTTAGTGAAAGAAACAATGCTGTATATCACATGATAGAATTTTGCAAGTCCAACAACTTACCCATTGCAAATACCATTATACCTATTTCAACAATGTAAACAACAACTATACACATGGACCTAACCAGAGGAATACACTAGAATCAAATTGACTGTGTCTGTGGGAAAATACAATGGACAAAGTCAGTATCATCAATTAAAACAAGGCAAGGAGCTCACTGTGGAACAGACCATCAATATCTCATGTTCAAGTTCAGGCTGAAGTTGAAGAAAATTAAAACAAGTTCATAAGAGACAAAATATGACCATGATTATAGCCCAACAAAATTTAGAAACCATCTCAAGAACAGATTGGATACACTGAACACTAAAGATCTAAGATAAGAGGAGTTCTGGGATGACGTCAAGAACACCATATATGAAGAAAGCAAATGGTCATTTAAAAGACAGAAAAGAAACAAACACCATAGTGGGTGTCAGGAAAGACTCTAAAACTTGTTCTTGAGTAAGTAGAGTAGCTAAAGCAAATAGAAAAAATAATGAAGTAAAAGAATAACATAAAATTTCTAAGTATACCTCAAGACAAAGTAAAGTATTATAATGAAATGTGGAAAGACATGGAGTAAGAAAGCCAAAAGAGAGGGGGTGCTCAGCATTCCTTAAACTGAATGAACTGAAGAAAAACTTCAAGCCTCAACTTTCAATAATTGAAAGATTCTCTGAACAAAATATTGAACATTTAAGCACCAAAACAATTGATCGACATTCAACCATTTCAGAAAGCAGTATTTGAGCAAGAACTAATGGACTGAACTAAGATGTTTACGCTGCATTGAAAACATTAGTAAAAAACACAGCTCCAGAAATTGACAGAATACCAATAGAAATGTCTCAACAAATTGATACAGTGTTAGAAACACCCACTAGTCTATGCAAAGACATTTGGAAAACAGCTACTTGGCCAGCCAACTGGAAAAGATTATACTTGTGCCCATTCCAAAGAAAAGTCACCCAATACGATGCAGAAATTATCCAGCAATAGCATTAATATTACATGCAAGTGTGATTTTGTTTACCATCATTCATAAACAGTTGCATGGACAGGGAACTGCAAGAAATTCACACTTGGAGTCAAGAGGACACAGAATTAGGGATATCATTGCTGGCATCTGATGGATCTTGGCTGAAAGCAGAGAATACCAAAACGATGTTTGCTTGTGCTTTATTGACAAAACAAAGGCCATTGACTGTGTGGATCATTAAAAAAAAGTATGGATAACTTTGTGAAGAATGGGAATTCCAGAACATAATCAATTGTGTTCATGAGAAACGGGTACATAGAGAGAAGATGAATGTTTAAAATCAGGAAGGGTGTACAGCAGGGTTGTATTTGTTCACCATACTGAATTCAATCTGTATTCCTAGTAATTTATCTGAGATGCTGGATTATATGAAGAACAAGGCAGTAGTATTGAAGGGGGACTCATTAACAACCTGAGATATGCAGATGACATACCATAGTTTTCTGGAAGCAAGAGGACTTGAAATATGTACTGATGAAGATCAAAAGCCAGAACCTTCAGCATGGATTGCACTACAATATAAAGAAAGCAAAAATCCTCACAACTGGACCAATAAAAAGCATCATATTAAACAAAGAAAAGATCGACATTGTCAAAGATTTCATTTTGCTTGGTTCCACAATCAACGCTTATGGAAGTAGCAGTCAAGTATTGCATTTGGCAAATTTGCTGCAAAAGACCTCTTTAAAGTATTCAAAGTCATAAGCACCTCATAAGCTTGTGAAAATTGAACAATGAATAAGGACCAATGCCTTTGAACTGTGGTGTTGGTGGAGAATATTGAAAGTACCATAGACTGCCAGAAGAATAAACAAGTCTTTCTTGGAAATACAACCAGAATGCCCCTTAGAAGAGAGGATGGCTAGACTTCATCTCTCATGTTTTGGACATGTTATCAAGAGGGACCAGCCAATAGAGAAGGACTTTATTGGTGAACTAGAAAGTCAGCAAAAAAGAGGAAGACTCCCCAATGAGATGGGTTGACATAGTGCAAGCAATAATGGCCTTAAGCAAAATAACAATTATGAAAATGACACAAGATGAGCAATGTTTTGTTTGTGCATAGGGCTGCTATGAGTCCGAACTGACTTGATAGCACCTAATAATAACAAGGTATATTGTATATTGTCCCAGTTTACTCTTAGAGTACCCCCAAGGGATGAGAGTGGAGTTGCACAGAAGCATAGTCAAAGGTCCCATGGTTAGTAAGAACCAGGATTTAAATCCTTTGTGTCTTATCACCAATTACTATTTCCAATATCTAGTAAAATTAAATATGTGCATATATTGTGGTTATTGCTATTGCTGAGTGTGGCCAGGTTTCTAACTCATAGCAATACTGTATGGGGTTTCCAAGGAATGGTTGATGGAAACCCAACTATTCAGCTAGAAGTCCAGTACTTATCCTACAGCACCACACTAGGACTCCTAAAAACAAAAATACACAAGAAAAAAATGTATTCAATTCTATATCAGATGACTGCATCCACAGTTGTTGTTGTTGCCTTTGTTGTTGTTGTTAAATGTTATCGAGTTGTTTCCAACTCATAGTGATCCTGTATTTGGTTTCAGAGGAGTGGCTGATAGGTTTGAATGAGCAACTTTGTGGTTCAAATTGACCATTGACCTTGTAGTCCAGGGCTATCCTACAGCACCACATGTCCACTAGAGATGATGTAAATACCGAATATTCTTCCTCAGCCTCCATGGTTTTAAAAGTGGCCTTGAAAAACTGTATGGTTTAAAGTGATTTAGATGAGGCTGATTCTTCTCTGCTTCACCCTATTTTGTGTTTGTGTCTCAAGCACAGGGGCAATGACTAAAGCTGCTGATACCATCTCACAACATGAGAAAAACTCTTGACTCTGACACTGTTGAGTTGATGAATGCTATTAGCAGCTGTCTTCCTCAGACTTGTTAACTGAGAAAATGAAACTGTTTGCCTAAACCATTGTAAATCAAATTTTCTGTTATTCTCAACTGAACAGAAATTTAAATAACAACAAAAGTCTGTCATTAACCTAAACTTTGTATTCCATTTCCCTAATGTGGTGGTGGTTATGTGGCTTGGGGTCAGTTCTGACTCACAGCGACCCTGTACGGGGGTTTCTGAGGCTGTAAATCTTTACAGGAGCAGAAAGCCTTATATTTCTCCTTCAGAACAGCTGGAGAAATTGCTGAACTTGTGGTTCACAGCCTGATTCATAACCACTATGCTACCAGAGCTCCTATAATGCTCACATTCTCTTGCTTACCTGGAAAAACTTCAGTATTGAATCAACCAAATACCCACCCACCCAATTTTTCTGTGAGAACCTTAAACTACTGGAGAAAACCGCTGGACCCTAAATTGATGCCATTTTAAATCTTCAGGTGCCATCCCCATTAGCTTTACCCAAGCAATTCTCATTCCAGTGTCAATGCAATTGCTTTCTCAATTAC